GCATATTTCACTAGACTAATATGACAAACCCCTTTAAACATTATGTTATAATGATTCAAGTATTGAAAATGAAGTTTCCTTAGATAGAATGGGAGAAAATTTTTGCAGCCTATGCATCCGATAAGGGACTGATAACTAGAATATACTTAGAACTCACGAAAATTAGGAAGAAAAAATCAAATAACCCCATTGAAAAGTGGGCAAAGGACTTGAACAGAAACTTTTCTAAAGAAGACAGAAGAATGGCCAACAAACATATGAAAAAATGCTCAACATCTCTAATCATCAGGGAAATGCAATTAAAACCACAATGAGATACAACTTAACCCGAGTGAGATGGCCTTTATCAAAAAAGTCTCCACAAAAATGGCTGCGCGTGGTTGCGGAGGAAGCAGGGAACACTGCTAACACTGCTGCTGGGACTGGCAAACTAGTTCAACCTCTGTGGAAAGCAATATGGAGACCAAAACCTTAAAGCGATCAAGTGAATCTACCATTGATACCAGCCAATCCGCAGTTGCTGGCCATCTACCCAAATGATCCCAGTGACACTCTACAAAAAGACACCTGCCACTCGGAATGTTTATAGCAGCACATTCCATAATTGCGAAGGTGTGGAACAGCCCAAGTGCCCATCAATCAAGAATGGATTAAGTAAAATGTGTATATGTATAAAACCATGGATACTATTCACTCTAAGAAACAACGGTGTATATGCCACCATCTTATATTTCCTGGTTACAGCGTGGGACCGATATACTAAGTGAGTATCCAAGAATGGAGAAACCAGCAACTGCTTATTAACGAGTAGCACCGTAAGTGGGACACATAAGGTGCTACAGTAATAGGTATTGGCATGGTGGGGAGGGGGAGGTGGGCGCGTAATACACTACATAATGAGTGAGATGCACACCATCTAGGCGGAGTCACGTGGAGACTCAGACTTTTGGGGGAGGGGGGGAAATGGGCATTTATTGAACCTTAAACTCTGTACCCCCATAATATGCCGAAAATAAAAAAAAGGAAAAAAACTTTGTACCCCATATATTGCTGAAATAAAATAAAAAACAATAATGCAGTAAAAAAATAAAAATAAAAAAAAAAATAAAATATGTAGACACACAACCCCTTTATCTCATTAATTATGTGTTACAAAAATACAGTATAAGTCATTACCCAAAGATCATTTAATGAAAATCATCAAATTAAAATACAATTATTTTGGATTTTCTGTGGATACCTACATTTTTAATAACAAACACATATTAGCTGTGTTAAATCCAATTCAGAGTAAATGAAATTTATTAAGGGCTGAGCTTAATTTATTTCTTAAATGAAAGATATTACTAATCACACGGATATTAAATTAATATTCAAACACATTGTTATCAGATTAGAGATAAAAATAAGAATTGGATTAAATGTATTATTAGTTCTTGATGAGAGAAATGAATTTATTTTCACTTAGTAGTCGGAACCAATAGTTTTGGAATCAAAGTGAAGGAACTATTAAAAAACATAAGAGGAAAACTAAGCACCAAATAACTTGGATAATTGCAGGTAGGAACAATTTATAGCCAATGAGGATATAAAATATGTATAATTCAGTAATAATATAAAATATTTTTCTGTAGATTCTATATTTTTCCAACTATGTTTAGAAATTGGAAAGTTGGCTTTATCTTTTAAGACTCTTGAGTAAACATTTCAGTGTTTATCTACCAAATTACAAAAGACAATTTCTTCAATGTAACTTGGAAAAAATATCCTGCTACACAGGTAAATCTAAAACAAATAAGAAAATTTTTAATGTGAAATGATGAGATAATGGCTAACTTAAAAAAAACTGCATTTTGTAGTAAAAATTGACAAAGTCATATGGTTCAATGTGGAGAAAAATATATACATATATATTCACTTATACACAAGACTGGAATAAATTTGAAAAAATCAGTATGTTTGAGAAGTAGATGATTTAGAAAATCTTATATATATATATATGTATATATATATATATATATGTATGTATTTCAGCATATTACGAGAGTACAGATGTTTGGGTTACATAAATTGCCTTTGCTCCACCTGGGTCAGAGCTTCAAGCAATTCCATCCCCCAGACGGTGCACACCACACCCAGTAGATGTGAATACACCCGTCCCCTCCTCTACCCTCCCACCTGCCCTACCCCCCATGAATATTACTAGTATATGTGCACTTAAGTGTTGGTCAGTTAAGTCAGTTAATACCAATTTGATATATTTTAACCTTATAGATAGATCATATATTTTTAAAAGTATAATTTAGTTGATATTATCGATGACTCTGGTGTTGCTTAATTATTATCCTAACGTCTCTTCCTACTATCTGATAATCTGCTGTCGGTAAACAGACTAAAAGTCCTTCAGTCAGAATAGATAGTAAATTTGATTGTGTACTCATATAACATATAATATCACATCATCTCTTTAGAATCTAAATTGTCTTATGAAATTATAAAATTGCAGGTAGGTGATTTGCAGATAGGTTGCTCATCCATATTTATTTGAATGGGTTCCATCTTTTTTTCTTTAAGTTCTGGCACACAAAATACTTTAGAAGCTTAAAACATTTTAGCAGTTTATTATCCCAGAGAAGTTATATCTGATATAAATGATTATTAGTGGTTGACAGAATGCATTAATTCAGTGGATCATACTTTTCAATATTAATTATCCATGGCATGGTTTTTCAGATCCAGTCTCATTAATCACAGGCCCTAGGCCAGTATGCTAATTTGAAGTCTATGTAAGAATTAGTAAATATTTGTTCCTTGGTAATACAGTGATAAAACTCTGAACTAGATTATATCATGACTGAGGGCCATTACTATAGAAGGTCAAATACTGGTTAATACTAGCCCAGCTAGAAAAGTCTTTATTTCTTCATACAGGATATAGTTCCTAACGGCTTGGCCCAAATAAGTGAGATTATTCATGTGAGTTGCAGAGTAATCTCCTGGGTTTTTTTTTTTTTTTTTTTGCTTGTTTGCTTGTTCTCTTTCTTGCTTGCTTATCTGTTTTTAAGTCCAACAACGTTTTTCAACTAATTCCCAATGAATCAACAATTTGAAATATGAAGTATAATGAACAGTGTATGAGTCAGGATCTTAGTGAAGGAAGAAACTTTCTCTTAATTACAGGGAAATGCACTGGGACCAGCTTCTGCCCTGTACAGTTGACTCACATGTGTTATAAATAACTGGCACACTCCCTAGAATTATTGCAGATTATATCTGAGGAACTGATTCTTCAGCTTAAAGGACAATCAAGTCATTATTCTTTGTGAATACCTTTCCCATATCAATCTGAAAAACTGTCTCTCGAGGACTGTTTTTCATTTCTACCTTGTCATACATGTTATCTTCCCTTTGCTCCAAAACCTTAGAGTTTTGTCCTGGTTGTGTCACAACCTACCTGTTTGACAAACTAAACCACATGAGTGAGTAGGATTAGGCTAATGTACTGTCCCTCCACGATGATTTATTTTCAAATTAACCATGCTGAAACTCAAAGAAGTGATTCTGGCAGGGAAGAATTTAAGTTGTAATTGAGGTATCTTGAGGTGAATGAGCCTGTTCATGCCCTTCATAGGTTGTATGTCACATTGATCCTGTGTTAGTCTTTTTTGTTTGATTGGTTGGTTGGTTTTGGTTACAAATTTAATTTATTAACTATTGAATCTGAATCTTTCTACTTTGTTATACACCCATACCCATCTGCTTATGATTTTCCTTCTACATCTTGGAGCCTCGTGTCTCTTATTTTATTTATATGAATGGTCATGTCCTTTTTCTTCTTTTGTTTTGATGCACACCTACTAGTGATTGCAAGGCCCAGGGCAGTGATTTCTTGGGCTGCTTGCTTGTGCTCTGACATTAACCCCTTGAGCATTTCTCCTTGACAATTTATGTTCAGATAATGGTTTTGACATTGAGATCTTCCTCTTTGATTTCTAAACCTTAGTTATTCCAACTCATGATAATTCAAAGTGACCAACGTTCTTTGTTAGGTCCCTTTGTTCACACTTAGTCGCATTTGAAATTCTTTTTATTTTCTTGCTTTTTTTTTTTTCTCCCTCTATTATGTGTCGGAATTAATTTTGGGGTTTGGAACCAAATAAACCTTCCTTATATCATGGCCCTTAATGACTTTGGAAAAGTTACTTAATTTTTATAAGCTTCAATTGCTTCGTTTTTAAAATAATCTCAATTCCATGGGCTTATTATACCAAATAAATGCATGAAGATACACAATTATTGTACATGCTGACTCAGGAAAGTTTATCTCCTTCTCCTTCTTTATAGAGGCTATTGACATTTGACAAATACACTCATTGGAAGACAGAATAGTAGTTGTTATTCATGTGGTCCCTCAACATAACACGAGCTTAGTAAAGATTCTATTTTTAGTTTATTACCCTCAATAATTCCAGTTCTTCCTGTTATAGATGGTCCCTTCCATTAATCTAGTTATGACTACGACCAATTTCTTACTAGTCTTTCTACTTTCAATTTTTCTCTCCTCCACTTATTGCTTCTCATGGTAGCTTGAGTGACCCTTTATACAAATATATGTAAATTTTCATCACACATATATATCCTACCATGTATACGTAATAAAAGTATCAATATATGAACCCACAGATATACTTATATAATTATAAAATTTCTAGTCAGCAATTTTTAAAGATTAACAAAGTAATAAATGACCAACTTCTTAAGAAAACTTGACATCCTCAGTCACCACCTATTTCTTAAAAATCAATAAGCAAAAGATGAACATTGCAACAGCTAGATGGGCAGAGACATGAACAAGCAGTTCACAGCCAAAGACATGGAACAGCCAAATAAGCTATTACATAAAGCTGATTACATGTACAATGTAAGATAATTTAAAGTAAAAAGGAAAAGACTTTTAATTTTACCTAAGAATTTAGAAAAGATTAAAAGTTTAACAATACCTAGTCAGCTGAGGGCATGGGGATCACCAGCACGATCCATGAAGTTTACATTCTTCAGCTTGTTTTCTCGGAGTCCCTCTGGCCTGGACCCTACTGGAACTCCAGGGCTCATCCGCCATCCTCTCCCATTCTCTCGCCACAGTGACCTTTGCCAAATTCATCCAATAAGATATGTTATCATCAGTCTATACACAGTGTTGTTTTTTTTCCTCCTAACAAAAAACATCTTCTCCTTTTCAACCCAAGCTGTTAACAAATCCATTCCTTATTGTGTTCATTTGTTCTAAATATTTCACCTGAAAGAGTCCATTGTCTTCCACAGTCCGTTCTTTGGTCCTGCCATGTCTTCGCAGGGAAACCCTCATTCTCACTTCTCCTGCTATATTGTCGCCGCTTGTTCTAGCTTAACCACCCACTAGAACACAGGCTTTCTTGCTCACTTTTGTATCCCTACCACCAAAAAAAGGCACTGGAATTCAGTGGATTCTTCAAAGATAGGTAGTTTAGAGGTAGCCAATAGGAAGTTAATCTGTTAACTGTTAAAACTTGAATATTCTTATAAATGCTACCTGATTATTCATAAAACCAATAAGTTTGTCACAAAGACCTGAGTCTTTCAGCACGCTATCCAGTCCACAGGGATTTTCTTTTTTATAACTGCGATATTCTTTCCTAAAATAATACAAATTATTATAATCACCATATTTTATTGGTAAAATAAAGATACAAAAAAGATTGAATCACGTTGCATTACAAAAACATGTGTAGTTAGCAACTGCTTATTCTCAGAGTATCATTTAGGAGTCAGTGTAGTTGTGATTTTCCAAGCCTGTGCATTGGGCCTATTATGAGCATTGAGAATAGGATGAGTCCTTATCAAATAAGGTTTTAATGGTTACATATAATTAGAGGGAGAGAGGGAGGGAGGGAGATAGAGAGACAATTTAGATATATCTTCTCTGTTATAAATGAGGAAATTAGACTGGGGTGATCTTGTATAATAATGTAGAACTATTAAGTGACAAATTTACTAGGATACAGATTCCCTAACATTAGAAAGAACTAGTGCTCTTTAATCATTAAATTATCCCACCAAATAATACAATTATTTGGGACTTGGTGATTTTTCTGACATGAAAAGTGTTAAATTAAACAAGAAGCTGAGTGACATTTGTTTCAAGTTGCTACAGAAAGAATTCTTAACATATCTGAGAGGTAGGACTATAGTTCTCCACATTTCTCAAATTCTGAGATTAATGAGTCCAGGGACATGTGAAGACACTGTAATCAGTTTGCTGTAATCACAAATGTTATACAAGCAGAATTCCATCTCAGGCTCATAAAAGTTTTACATTCCTTGTAATGAAGATCTAGTTGATAGGATTAACTCTTCTCTGTACCAAAAAAGGACAACTGACCTGAGGCTAGCTATTACAGACCAAAGTCTCCTATATTTCCTATAAAAACACAAATTGAAACAGATAACTCAATATCTATGTTTATAACAAAAGATGTTCTATATTAGCATGAATCCATTTTCTGTGTAACTTAATATTATTCTAAAACATAACAGCAAAACCATATTTTAAAACTTCTATAGTTAGAAGTTAAAATTCTATAAAACAATCAGCCACAGTACACATTTAAAAGAGCCAATGGAATTGAAATTATTGTAGGATATACATAAAGTATTTCATTCTGTGTATTACTGCAACCATGCCAGATTTCTGGGTAGATTTTTCACAAAATTTGGAGGGGTCATTTAAGACAATCTTCTATAAAATACAGCTATGCGACACATGCCAAATTCATTCTCAGGCACCAGGGTGTCATCTTCCACAACAATTAAAAGAGATGTACAAAAAAATTGTCCATTTTCCTGTCCATCAGGGAGAGAGATTCCAAATATATTAAGGTACTGAACAAAATAGCAGCTGTTTTAAATATGAGCCCCAAATAAAAAACCACTAAGGCAAATGCTCTAAATTGCAGTATTTTTACCATTGAGGTGCCTCTCAGATGACATCATGTATACATCATGCACAGCTGAGAAATAGTAAAGAGGGAAGGAATAGTTCTGCAGATTTTTTAATTTAAAACTGATTAATGATTCTAAACAACAATGAGGAAACTAGTTAGAACTAAGTAAACTGAGTTCATTATCCTACAAACCATACAAGGTAGAAAACCGCATTGCTATGGTTAGAATTTGGTAAGGTTCCTGGCATTTACTTTCTTATTTCTTCACCACGTAAGCTATTTGGGAGTACATCTGTTTTATATGACTAGAATAAAGCTGTTCTTGTAGAAGGGTTACTTCTTTAATCATCAAAATGATGATGAAGTTTCTAAAAGTTACACCTACAAAATCTTATACTCATATATTAGAAAAATCTGACTTATTTTTTCCAAAAATCATTTTCAGTGCCAGAGTTAAAGATTGAGAGCAAGCAAGTTATTTTCAGAATTCACCAGAAGGCTTTCTGCGTGTACATTCAACATTTACTTTGAATGTAACATTTTTTTTATCCACTCAGTATTCCTATTTAAGAGGCTCACACTTACAGAGGTTCATACTGCTAAGTAGAAGATGCCTGATGTCTTAAAATATATAAAAGATAGGCCAGCTTAATGAATTGCCTTTAAACATATTTATTGCGTATTTTTGGGGGTGCTTCACCTGCATATACCTAGCTATACAGGTATATAGAAAGCAGGATTGTTAAGATATTTCTTCTGCTATCTCCCCTCTGGCCAAAATTCTTTCTCCCTTTTACTGCTCTTCTTGAGTTCTGTGATAACACAAAAGTTGAAATCATCAAAGCAGATTTACAGAAATTACAGATATTACCCAGCACCAATCTTTGCTAATAATTCAGATGATACCAGCAAACATCAAGTACAGATAAAGCCATCTCTTCCTGGAAGAGACTGAAACCAGCAGACAACATCCAAAAGTGTCCCCTTTCTTCTTTTTTGGCACATCTGTTGTTTTCAGAATAATAGATAATTTTTTGGAACAAAATGCATGAAAACAATGTTCACAAAGGGTTCCACTTTAATTTGGGGGGGGGGTGGAGGAACAACTTTTCATACTCTGTTAATTGTATAACTTACTAAACCCCATTCTCCAGGCAGCCCTGCAGCATAAATCAACAATGTCATGTTTATTTACAACATTGCAACCTAGATTGCCCACATACATCCTGATATAGCTATTTAATAGATATGACTCCTCTTTTTCTATGTAAATAATGTATTATATGAATGAGGGAGGTTGGCTTAGGTCAGTAGTATATTTACAAACGAGAGCTGTTTAAGGTTGCTCATTTCCTGAGCTTTTCAAATGGGAAAGGAATGAGTCACTGGCCCTTTCTTTTCCAAGTTCCCACAAAATTAATTACCTTATGCTGGTGTAGTCATTTTCTTATGAATTCCCATCTGTATAGCAGCAGTATATACTTTTATGCAAATGCTGCTCTTATAGCAGCCAAGTCCTTATAAGGACTTTATTAAATTTTTGAAATATTATTAACATGTAAAATATTTTTTAAAAGATAGAATGAACATGATATTGAGTTCCAGGTGAACTTAATTTTGTCTCTAAATTTCATAGTCTACCTGCTTTATAGTAGCAGGCACATTATTTAAGTTTTTTGAGCAGTAGTTTCCTCATCTGATTTTAGAAAATGGTAATTATGAGACATAAGCTATATTAAAGTGCTTGCAAAGTTCTGAGCATGTAAGAGCCAATCAATAAATGTTTATTTTCTTTGCCTTTTTTTTTTTTTTTTTTTTTTTTGAGACAGAGTCTCACTTTTGTTGCCCCGGCTAGAGTGAGTGCCGTGGCGTCAGCCTAGCTCACAGCAACCTCAAACTCCTGGGCTCAAGCGATCCTCCTGCCTCAGCCTCCCAAGTAGCTGGGACTACAGGCATGCACCACCATGCCCGGCTAATTTTTTTTTTTTTTGTATATATATATTTTTAGTTGGTCAATTAATTTCTTTCTATTTTTAGTAGAGACGGGGTCTCGCTCAGGATGGTTTCGAACTCCCAACCTCGAGCAATCCGCCCGCCTCAGCCTCCCAGAGTGCTAGGATTACAGGCGTGAGCCACCGCGCCCGGCTTCTTTGCCTTTTTATAAGTTAATCAGATCACACATTTTTTCTTTCTGATCAATGATGTTGCAAAATTTCCTTATTATTTTAACTTTTTAATATTTCTTATCTCCTTTGCTAATTGTCTATTCTTTCTCTAATGCCTTAAATATGAATATTTTCTCAAAATATGTTCTCAGTGTTTTTTTCTTTTCTCATTCTACATTCCTATTTTTAGACTCCTTAGAATATGGTAAATATTTCATTTTTAAAGAACATTCATATCACTTTTATATAGATAAGACTTAAACTGCATGAAGCTCAAAAAAAGGTTTATATGTTTAAAAATCTGTGTATAAGATATTTCTGACCATACTCTCAATTCCCATCTTGATTATGGGAGATTTATATTTTTAATTAAGTATGAGCTGGAACAACCCATACTACTAAGTGAAGTATCCCAAGAATGGAACAACAAGCACCACATATACTCACCAGCAAACTGGTATTAACTGAGTAGCACCTAAGTGGACACACAGGATGTACATTAATAGGGTATTGGGCAGGTGGAAGGGGAGAGGGGGGCGGGTATATACATACATAATGATTGAGACATGCACCGTCTGGGGGATGTTCACACTTGAAGCTCAGACTTGTGGGGGTTGGGGGGCAAGGGCATTATTTGAAACCTTAAAATGTGTACCACCATAATATGCTGAAATATTAAAAAAAAAGATGTAACTGTAATTTTAACAGACAATAAAAAGGAATGAATAGTTAGTGTTCAAGTAGCAAGATATCCTGGCCTTGTCACTTGCCGCCTTGAGGGAGTGAGCTTTGCATCGAAATCTGAAAGATGAGAACAATTTATCTATGCTATGCTGAGTTACGGAGAGCGGAGGAACCAGGAAAACACCACTATCTTCCTTGGTAGTGTCTTTGCATTTTACTGTCCACCATGAGCTAGTCAAACCTTCATCCTCTCTTATCTGGAAAAATGAATCAGTTCATTGAAGAGGAGGAACAAGATGAAAAGATTCAGAGGGTCCCAAGAAATCAGAATGCATGGACTTATTAATACTATCCCTTACTATTCAAATAACATTTACAGTCACTTAAGTCAGAACTCCATTGATTTTACTCTCCTTGACTCTGGCTAATATCTTTATATCTAACATCTTTAGATTACTTCCAAACTTTCTCCATGCTACCTCTACCTTCCCCTTTTTTTTCTAGAATGGGTAAAAATCCATCCACATCAACTGTTGCTAGTTTGACACTGCCACTCTCTTGCTACAATACACCTTTGGGGAATAGAGGCCTAAGATCTTCATGCTTATTTTATTCTTCTTAGAAGAAATGTTCTGTTATATTCTTTGTGTTTACATAACTGAGTATACAACTTAAAAATAAATGTTCACATTCTTTTTCTTTTCTTATTTGTTAAGATCTTCTTGTAAAATAGGTATCTCAATCATTCTCCTTGGCTGAGTAGTTTCTCATAAGCTTACTCATATGTATAGTACTTATAAACAATTAGGATC